CCAGTGATGTAGTGGTGCCGAAAGAAGGTTTTACTTTTAATTTATTCCCTAAAAGCTCACCAGTAGTGTTTGCACATTGTCACTGAACAGCTGCTGGACTTCAGGCAGTAAGGATCATTATGAAATGAATATTAGCCACAGAAGAATCAGTACTGGCCCACTGACTTCAGGGTGAGAGAACTACATTAATAAAAATCAAAGAAGGGTCTATTGTCAGACATAATATTCATAGCTATGTTTTCATTAGTGTATAATCAGCTGAAAATAACAATCACCTTAGAATGAGATCATTTTATCTACAGAGTTCAGCCATATGGAAAAATAAAAATAATCTGATCTGGTCCTAAATTTGGGCATAAAACAACGTTTGCTACTCACAAATTATACTATTGGTTCTGATTTGTCAAAAGTGTCAATGTTGAAAACACCAGTGGGTGGTGTGATGAAAGGAGGGGCTCCTATACAATATATAACAGGGTGTTTGAATGCAGAAGAGTTAGTCTGGTCCCGGGTCACTCACTATTATAGTGTGTGACCCTGTTGCTGATCAGTCACGTCATGTAAAAACCACGACTTCAAGAGTTCAGATTAAAGAGAGGAAGTTGTGTAATGTGACCAAAGCTTAAACTGGACCTGATCTTTGTTTTGCTCTAAATCTCCTTCATATACCCAAGAATACTTAGAATAATGAATGAAAGTAACGAGTAACAAATGGATGCAGGTCAGGTTGTTATTTATTGATGCCGTTGTTCTATTGTCCTTCGTTAGGCATAAAAACAGCAACTGAAAAACAAAACACATAGTTTAGGAATACACTCAGAAACAACACAAGCTAATTTATGCTAATGCTAACACATTATACCAGTCTTTTTTTTTCTTTGATGATCACACTTACAATAATCCGTTAGGACAGGCAGCATTCAGGTGTCCCCTCCTGCAGGGAAACATTGAAACTCATTATTCTTATGTTTTCTGTTTGTTTGTAACATTGCACACTGTCTGACTTTGTGTGTGTGTATGAAGGATAAAATAATAAATAAAAAAATAGATTAATGGAGAAATAAATACTTCAATACGTAATTATATGCTGAAAACATATATTTTGGTAATGAAAATAGATATTTGTGTGTCTGTATGTAAATTGAGTGGGTGGTCCTAATGTCAGTCTGAAGCAGGATTGGTCAGGGAGAGACTTGTGACTCGCTATGACTGGTAAGCAGACCCGACCATACTGTGCATGCATCAGGCAGATCCATAAAAACTGGTAACGCCAACCGGTAACACAGAAGTAACAAAGACTGCAGTTCCTCGAATGGCCACTGGAGGCTGGCTCCACAAGTGAGTCAGTCTTTATGTTACAGCCGCAGCACATTTACATGCTGTAATTCTGATAGTTTTGGAAAGACTGCTGTGAGTTTAAATGCAGCTGTCGGTAGCTCCTTCATACTTGTTACATTTTTGTCCTAACATCTTATTATTAATATTATTAATAATTATCATTGAATAATGTCTGATTGGTTTTGGTTTTAAAGCCAAAATTGTTCAAACTGACTGAATCCTGAGATTTTGGCAACAGCTGCTCATATAGATGCTGCGGCCGGTAACTCCTTCAACCTTCTCTGTTTATTGCTGAAACACAAGTTACCTATGACAGAAATATCTCCTGGCCCCTTATGCTAGGCTAGGCTAACCAAGTCCGAACACACAGACATGAGATTGATGTCCATCTGAGCCTGTCACTCTTTGAAAGAGAATGAGAGGATCTGCCAAAATGTACAACTATTCATTTGAAACAAGGCCATGTTTCTGAGAAGTGTTATTATATAATATATATATATATATATATATTGTGGAGATACAAGGTTCTTGATGATTATAATGATGATGATGATGATGATGATGATGATGATGATGATGATATATGACAGTAGCTTACACGCCACATGTTCCAGGAGGTTTGCAGAATCCACCAACCACCTCACAAGCTGACCAACCTCCTTCAGCCTCATCTGCAATAGAGGAAATTAGTTCTTATCAGCATCAGAGTTCAACTCTTTTTATGTTTGAATTTTCTGTCCTGACCTGTATCTACAGCACCGACCGTTGCCCTGTATCTACAGCATTGACATCGGCCCTGTATCTATAGCATCAACCTTTGCCCTGTATCTACTGTATTGACATCTGCCCTGTATCTATACCTAACCTCTTACTTAGGTATTATTGTCAAATTGTCCTGGAAATCTTTAATAACTGTCTCTGAAGGACAATTAGTGTGGAATTATTGGACTTCAGTAAGATTATGATATATTAATTATTCATTCATTCATTATTGTTACTATTATATTAATAGTTGCAATCAAATTGAACATCAAAGAATTATGGCCTGTTAAGTGCATCGGGCCGCACCTTCAATAACCAATTACAGACAAACGATAAGTGATACCCAAACACAGACTTAAAAGTTTTGTTTAGCTTAATTTAAATTTAATTTAATTTAAATTTTAACAGATTTTGGAGAAGATTAGATGAAATATGTGCAAAAAAAAAAAATCCAAAATGGTGGAATAATTTTAAGGCACAAATAGGTGTGGTCTATATTAGTAAAACTGGGATCATCCCACTGTAAGGAACCAACTGTGCAAAAATATTTCTTCTCCTCACGGTTAATGAGTTATTAGCAAAATCACTTCATCTGCTGATGTCGTGTTTATTGTCAAATGTTGTGGTGATGTTTGAACAAACATTTGGCGAAATAGAAAATATTGTGTGTACAGTACTAATTACAGTAAAACATTTATTGTCACTGTGAAGTCATCGTTTGACCGTTCGGATCATCAAGGTCAGTCATCGTTTTACTGGTAACATAGGATAATGATATTTAGTCACAATGCAGGCAGCACAGAGAGATGGAG